AACATGTTTAAAATTGGAGGTAGTCTGAGCTGGGTGTCCCAAACATTCCTAAACAGTTCTGAGATTGGAATTTGAATGAGTCAGATGTTCAGGACTGAGCTTTCTTTTCTCTCAATCTGTCGCATCGCTTACTTCTGTTCCAAGGATTTCATTTTTCTATTGCTCTTTAAATGCATATAGATTTGTTTCTGGGAGCAGAAGTATTTTTTATAAAAAATCTAGATGACAGAAAATACACTAAATAGATGCATGTTTATGTAATTTATATTTTACTATAGTTATAAATTACATATTTGTATAATCCTGTACCAAGTTGCCAGATACATTTTTAGTGCATTGGGGAAATATGTGGTTTCTTAGCATCTGATCTGATGGACTTTTCTTTCCAGCTGTACTGGAATCTCTTGGGTACAGCTATAAAGAGTTTGGAGAAAGAATATTCATTCCTTTTGAATTTGTTCAGAGGCAATAAAAACTATTTTCAAGTTTGAGCATCAGGAATTTTTATCTCATTTCAAAATTGCAAAAAGTCATGAATTACCTTTAAAATTAACAATTCACATGATTTTTTTCTATCTGAAAATATGAATTCTGGAGGGATATTTTTATATTAATTCTTTCAAATGAATACTGTATTAATTGGCTGCATACCTCCTGGAAAGATATCTTATCAAAAAGCTTTCCACTAATTTGCTGCTGAGAAAAAGTATGTATATACATGGGGGAAAAAGGGGGGATTCCAACTCTTGGAGAGAGGAAGAGAGAAAAATGACAGAAAGCAGCTACACAAAGGCAAAACTTTGACAGAAAAGAGTATGCTAGCAGGTTATTTTCTCCTTTTGGTGCAAAAGACATATTAAATCTCACTATATGGATGCACTGATTTTTTTCATCCATGAAACTTTTGTTGAGTACCATCCTATGCCAGGCGTTGTGGTAAGCACCATGGATATCATGTAAGATAGAGCCTCTAGCCTTCAGTTGCTCACAATCAAGTAGGAAAGGAAAGTTTATTAAGACACAAGTGTTATAATACAAATTTTTATTAGTGCCTGCCTTAGCATACAGACTACAGCCTTTAATTCTGATTAATCAGTGTTTCAGGGTTATGGGCTGAGTGTAAAGAAGATGAGGCTTTAGACTTTAAAGAGTACATCAAACCACGTGATCGTATCAACTGATGAAAAAAACAAACAAAAAACACCATTGACAAAATCCAACACCCTTTTATGATACAAAAACATTCAATGAACTAAGACTAGAAGGGATCTTTCTCAAAATGAAAAAGGCCATTTATGAAAAACCCACCACTGACATCCTCAATGGTGAAAGACTGAAATCTCTTCCCTAAGATCGGGAGCAAGACAAGGATGTCCACTTTCAAGGATACCTTCTATTCATTATAGTACTAGACGTTAGAGCCAGAGCAATTAGGCAAGAAAAAAAAAAGGTATCCAAATCAAAAGCAAGAAGTAAAATTTGACACAACATTGTAAAATGATTATAAATCAATAAAAAAATGTTAAAAAAAGTAAAATTTTCTTTTTACAAATAGCATAATCTTACAGCTAGAAAATCCTTAAGAATCCATTTTTTAAAACTGTTAGTGCAAATTATTACTTCAGCAAAGTATCAGGATACAAAATCAACAGGCAAAAATCATTTGTATTTCTATGCACTAGCAATGAACATCTGAAAAGAATTTGGATTGGAAAAAGTCAATTAACAGCAAAGGAGTGAAATAGAAATATATTTAATAAAGGAGACACACAACTTGTACTCTG